GTTTGCTCACAAGGATTATGAACATTCCCGAGAAGCTGTTGCAGTAAACAAGAGCAATATTTGTGGAGGTCACCATCGTTCCTCCATTTCCCCCTTTGCCCTGGTCTCGGAGGTGGGTCTCGTGCTCCTCCAGATTCTCCGCATACTTTCCAGCAAAACGCGGAGATAATGTCGTCAACTTTGACTATCTTTGAAAGGGGTTTTCCAAAGGAGTCTGGAATCCCAGGAAGGTTGGAAGGAGGTGCAAGAGGAGAGGTCCACTCCCCCCCCAGTCCCATCATGTTTGGAAAGGACGACCAGAACACCATGGAAGCCAGCAAGTCCAGGAGGAGAGAAGCATAGGAATGTCCACATCAGAGGGAGAGCAGGGGAATGTTTCCCTCCAGACCCACCCTGTCCTCACAGAAGAGACGCTGGTTGTCCAAAAAACAAAAACAAAACAAAACAAAACAAAAAACAAAAAAGCAATCTGTGCGATCCTTTAGACTACTCCAGCACTAACATTTTCCAGTCTACTCCCTAATCTTCTCTTTCTGCCTTCCCAGCAAATCCTAGAGAGCTAAGACCACCTAGGAAGTTTCATGGCTGAGCAGCTGCATCTCTCCTAAGCAAAATGCAAGAACTTTCTCTCCCTCTGCACCATAGGGAGACTGGGCAGGTGTTCCCCAAAACCCCAGAGCATTGTTGAAAAGAATCCATGGATTTATATACTCCAGTACCGGCTGGACACACCAAAACCTGGATGACAATTCCCAGACAAAGCTTTTGGATTTTACTTTGATAAATGAGCAGAATTTTCCACAAGGATTAAAAACAATTAACAACACACTCATGCTCAGAAACATCCCTTCCCATATCAAAAATGTATTTCCCTGTCAATATCCAGTCTGAGGAAGAGTTTTGTGAAATTTCAAAGCCTGGATGCTTTATCCAGAATGCTGTGGTTTCTAATAAAACTGCCTGAAAATGCAGTATACTAGAGATGATATTATTCTTAAACTAGAAAGATCTACATCCTAATCTCTGCTCCCCTGTAATGCTCATTTGTTGGAATCCTGTGGGTAGTTATGCCAACGGCATAACTTTTCAACATGGACTGCTGCAAATTAAGAAACCTCCACAGACTTCGCCAGTTGTACCCTGAGTCCTACCACCTGGCGGTCATGTCTAATTTCTGGGAATTTCTTAACATGACAATTTGCGTCTATACGTTAGTCGGTTTGCGTAGCTGTGCAACAGGATTCCAGCCATTGGGTGACTTTCAGCCATTTGCTCTGTCTAGGCTTGGTGTACCTAAGGGGGTTCTTGTAAGCATAAAATAAGGATAGCCCATATCTGTCCAATTCTATCAAAACATGGTTGCTTTATTAACTACTGTGATCACATTTCTGAGTTTCAAAAGGGTTTTATTCTGTGCCAGGCTCCTGAAACGTCTTATTCTTCATTCCATACCAAGCCTTTCAAGCCCTTTTTTTTTTTTGGCCTTTGCTTTTCCTCCTTCCACAGTGCACTCATATCTAGGCTCAAGAGTGCTCTTGACACACCTAGGAATGTGAACAGCCCATCTTGGATCGCTTCCTTATGTTCTCCCCCCGCCTTGCACATTCTGTTCCCACTCAATAGCTGCCTTTGTAACTGATTCGTTGCTAAATGTTTCCTTGCATTTTGCAAGCCAAGCTGAACGACACACTCATGTTCGGAAACGTTTCCCGCCCCATCTCCATGAAACTTTCCTTCCCCATCAGTTTCCAGATCAGGGAAGAGTGCCCTCCATCCTGAACGCTGGTTCTTCATAAAACCGCCAGCCAATCTGGCACACTACAGATCGTACCAGATTCAGCCCAAAATCCAGACGTGTTCGTTATGTTCTCTGCCTAACGGGGTGGGTTGCTTCCCTCGGAGGACATCTCCTCTCTCACCCTCCTCCTGCCCCCACTCTCATAAAACTGGCCCGCACAATTTGTGACTCACAAGGCCAAAGGCAGCCAATTTAAACGCCTCTAGTTGGCAACGATGGATTCCATAAATGCCCTAGTTTGCCTGCCTGGAAATACAAAAATGGAGGAGCAAGCGGGAAGCTTTTTCAAACCATTTCAGGCCGCAGTCCAGGCCTGGAGAAACTGCATTCAACATGGTGGAATCTGCAAACGGGAAGCTGCAATTCCCAAATCTTGGAAAAGTTACTTTTTAAAATTGCGGCTGTCAGAACCAGTGGCTGTGGGGTTCCGCGGAAGTGGCCTTATCCACCAAAGCTCACTCCACAGTATAGCAAGTTAATATTTAAGGTGCCACCATGTTCTCACTGTGTTTGTTTTTTATTTTTATTTTCTTTTGGCTTTATGTGTGGGATTCTGGAATTAGCAGGCCGAAAAGTAACTTTTTTGAACTCTTGATATTGACCCCCTAAACTTTTTCTGATCTTTCCTTTATTAACGCAGTTGGGGGCGTGTCTATCTGTGCGCCCAGGAATCGTAAACTTCCTCCTCGGCTTCTGGTGCTCCACCTTTGACACACCTGACAGGTAAACATCCAGAAGGGGACGCTGTTTCCTGCAGGTGAGCAGAATAACTCCACACGTTCACATTTCTGCACGTCACGTGACTCAAGTTATAACAGAGACTGGAGGCGCCTAGTAAGAAGGGTTAAACTAGCTAAACGCTTTCTGAGGTCAAATTTCAAAGATGGCAGTGGGGATCCATTGGCAGAGGTACTTTCCAAAAGTTACTTCTTGAAGGCATTTTCTGAGGCGTGCTGGGAGGAACTCCACAAGTTTTAGGTCAGCCCCTTATCAGTCTTAAAAGTTTCCTTCCCCCCCCCCCCAAAAAAAGCAATTGAAAATAACAAAACAATAAGAAGCAGCCAGTGATGGGACAAGTTACTTTTGAAACACTGGAACAAGCAACAGAAACTATCTCCTTTACAAACGCAGCAAAATCTATCCAGTCCAGATTACTTTTGAAACAATGATGTTGCCAAGTCTGAACTGGTGCCCAGGGCAGAGGAGCAGGGTCTGAGGTGGGAAATTGGCAACCACCATCTCTCTCTCTCGGTCCCATTGACCTCCCTGCCTCTCCCTCTCCCCAGGTCCCTCCTCCCTCCTCCTCCTCCAGCTGTTTCCTTTGTTTTGAAATGAATCTGCCCCTAGTCTTTGTTTCCCTTGAAATGAGCCTCTAAGTCTGAATCAATATTTACCAGTCCAGATCTTGGGCGGGCAGGAAGACAATAGACCTTGATACAGCGGAGGGCCTGTCTACCGACCAGAGAGACTCCCAGGGTCAGGTCAGAGCTGGCGAGGACTAGGGACGAAACAGAGCAACCCGAAAGATAAGCCGGGCCCTCTCTGTGACAGGTGCTCCTCCGAGAGAGAAGAAGTAGTGGAACCACACGGATGTCCAGGGAGAGGCCGCTACGGATCCGTCCCTTTCGCTTTGGCTCACATGCAATTTTAAAAAGATACCCCTCCAGCCTTTTTTTAAAAATCAAAGCTACAATGACATTTTTTTTTACAAATGGGAGAGGTTTTTAGCCAAAGGAACCTGACCTACCACCCGATCCGTCATCATCACCCAGGTTAAGCTAAATTCTCACCATTCCGTTGTCCCGCCTATGGAGAGTCACAGGCCGCCTCAACCCTGCCGTTCAAGAAGGGTTTTTGACTTAGGAATATTTTGTCAGCGAAAAACAGAGATGGCAACCTAGCTGAGGGCACATCTATACAGGGATAGAGTTCGATCTTTGGATCGCTTTGGGTGCTGTTGGGTTTGAGTGGAACGACAGCATCCACGCGTGGTTTGCCTTAGAGCGATCCATCCCACCCACCCCCTTTTTCAGAGCTGTCCCGCTCCATTTTTTGGCACAGCAGTAGGGATACCATTTCTTTTGGGGGCATGATTTGGAACACCCCTAATTAGCCCGTTCTATAGCCTGTGTGGGATGCTCACACCTAAATAGCAGGAATGGTACAGGCTGCCTCAACCCTACCGTTCAGGAAGGGTTTTGACTTAGGAATATTTTGTCAGCGAGAAACAGAGGTGGCAACCTAGCTGAGGGCACATCTATACAGGGATAGAGTTTGATCTTTGGATCGCTTTGGGTGCTGCTGGGTTTGAATGGAACGACAGCATCCACGCGTGTTTTGCCTTAGAGTGATCCATCCCACCCACCCCCTTTTTCAGAGCTGCCCCGCTCCATTTTTTGGCACAGCAGTAGGGACACCACTTTTGGGGGCATGATTTGGAACACCCCTAATTAGCCCGTTCTATAGCCTGTGTGGGATGCTCACACCTAAATAGCAGGAATGGGAAGTCGAGTTGCAGGACTCACTGTGAAGTCGGACTTAAGTCGTACTAGTGACTCAACTCACCCTCAACTCAGATTTTTTTTCCCCTCAATGCCTCAGACTCAACTCTCAACTCAGAACACACCCACTCTTGTTTTTTTTTAATCTGAGAGGGGAAAAAAACCTTTGATTTTAAGACTCAGGACTTGGTACCAAAGATTCGAACTTGGGACCCGGACCGAAAGACTTGCCAACATCCCTGTTAAATGGACTTTTGGGTGGTGTTATCTGAGGTGACACAACCAAAACTCCTCAAATCAAATCTCGTTAAACCCAACGCTCACCCTTACACGAGCTCTTTCCAGGCAAGGATTTATTACAGAATTCCCACAAACGGAGGGAAGGGAATCCACAAAAATGCTGTTGTTTCTTATAATCCTTCTATGAGGTGAAGAGCTGACTTTCACTAGAGTCACTTAAGGAGAGGCCACACAGCAGCCCACGAGAAGTGATGCCACTGTATCCTGCAAACAGCCAAATGCTGGACTCAACTCTTTCGAAAATCCCTGCCAAATCCAAGGTTCCATGAACGACTCTGAGTAAGCCACAAAAATTAGAAAAAGACAGAGAGAGAGAAGAAGGCCATTTGTTCCAATGTGGCAGGAGGAACTACTGCAGGTCCTGATCCGTGCCTCTGATAAACCCCACCACAGCACCTTACCTCGGCTCACACGCTGTTTCGCACCCGACAAGATGCCCGGCGTGTCGATCAGGCTGATGCTCTCCAGCACCTGGTTGGGCAGCTGGGCGCACATGAACCTAAGGGGAAATAAAAAGAGTTGGAGGGAGGGTCTTGTATGGAAGCCTAGCCTAAGAGAGATTAATTTGGGAGCATGCCGATCCTGGAAGCTCCCAGCCAGTTAGGCTCCCTAAAAAAACTTTTCTATAAATACTGATAGGGAACAGAAGAAAGCAGACGGAATGCTTGCAAAAATCCCGTAGGAACTGGAACACAAAATAAACCACTTAGAGTAGTGGCTTGCCACTAGATGGGCAGTCAATGAATGAATGAATGAATAAGCAAACAAACAAATGAACAAACAATCGTCTAAAAAAGCAGTGTTCACAAGATATATATCTGTTGATTCTCCTCATGCATTAGCTGAGGGTTTGGGTACACACATGACAAGCCTGAACACCATGGTATAATGTTTATTTATTACAGTATAACCAGTTATTTAGTTCTTGTAAATTAGTATCGTTCTCCTTGCAGAGAGAAGTGTGTTTAATATTTCTGTTGCTCTTTCTAGACTGTGTAAGTTGCCTTGAAGAGTTTCAAACAGAAGGTGAGTTACCATTTTCACCCCAACGAATGAATGAATGAATGAATGAATGAATGAATGAATGAATGAATGAATGAATGAAATGAAATGAAATGAAACCAAAGCTCAAAAATACGGAGATGCATTCCTGATTCTTAGCATCACCAAGACTGGTCCAAAAGTTGCTTAGTACATGAAGGCAAGTAACCCGAGGGGTTAGCTGTGATATGTCCTTGGGAGCATGTCTGTAGATGGTGTTTTGGTGACATAAATAGGTGGGGATGTGATGTAAAGGGCTGGGGGAACAAGCCCCTGCTTTCTTTCCTCTCCTCTGATCACCATCTGAATTTTTAAAAAAATTCTTACATATATGAGATATATTAGCACTAGATCACCTGACCATAAAGTCTTCATTATTATTATTTTTCCCCCATATTTGCAAGCCATAAAAAGGTCAGCACATGCAGGGTGATTTCAGGCTTCTTCCACATGTATAAATCCCACCTGTGTATATTATTTGTAGGATTTGGGATATTTATATACAGGAGGACCCCCTTATCCACAGGATCGGTATCCGCTGATTCACCTATCTACAGTCTGAAAATATTAAAAGAAAAATCCTAGAAATATACTTTGGCAGAGATGAAGTTATGAGAACTGGCCACTAGAGAGAGCCAGAGACCATGCGATGCATAGTGTTTGCTCTTAAAATATTGTTTCTTCTAATCCACATTTTTCAGCATCTACAGAGGGGCTTGAAACCGATCCCCCACAGATACAGGGGTCCTGCTGTGCTACTCAACATAATAAAATCTCGCTGCATTATTCTACAATGATTTAAAAGTAATTTTTAAAATCAAGAACCCAGTCCTGAGAATATTTACCTGGGTTCAGTGGGGCTTACTTGCTCCCAAGTAATGCTGCACAGCTTTGATGAAGTGCACTATTTATCTCAAAGGTGTTTGTTGTGGTCCTTGTTGGCCATCTCCTGCTTCCGAGTAGCTTACCAGCTCCTCCCGAATTTATTTCGAACAGGAGTCCTGTTGGACCTAAGTCAGATTTCGGAGTCTAAGGGAGGCGACCATGGGGGGGGCAGGCAAGAGCAGAGGCCACGGCTGTCAAAATTCAAGCTGTGGTATGTGCTTGAGGTGGAGCCTATGTTTACAAACCTCTCCATGGAGGAAGGCACGCAGCCCATCCAATATAAACAAGGATGCTAAAAGTAGACTCTCCCGGAAAAATATCCAGGGACATCCAACTTGTCAATGTTCCACTCTCCCAAGCGAGACTGCAGCTAACAGTAGCGTTAAAGAAATCTGCATCAGTTAGAAGGGAAGTGGCCCCAGGATTTTAGAAAAAAATGAAATATTTCTAGTCTGTTGGAACTAAACCACAGGGAGAAATGTTCCAGTTAAGCGAGGAGATGGCAGTAACTGGGACACCCATGGCTTTCTCCTAACTCTTAAATGGCACCCATTCTCTTTCTGTGTAATGGCATGGCCATTCAAGGGCTATGGCCCACACTTTGCACCCTAGAAATTGGAGAAGTTTTTGGTTGTCAGGCCAGCCGTATGATGTGAGACCTCAGGAGAAGGCTTTGGGATGATTCGGGGAGCAAATCCTTGTGACATCATCTCTGGAGGGACAACTGTAAAAATGGCACACAACAGACAGGAAAGAAGAGACTCTATAGCAAATTTCTGGGGCCCTTTTCATCTGCCGGGATGAACAGATCACACAGTAATCAGTAAATATGGAAAACGTGTTTAAAAACAGCAGTGTTCGTGTAGAACGTGCTTTTATTTTTCTTTCAGAGTTATGGGAGATCCAGCTTCTCCAGTTAGAAATCTGCTTCAGTTCTTATATGTCTTCTCTTGCTCCTGGAATGTCCCTCCCCCCTTTAAGTCTGGCTCCGGTGGGGATTCTTTCCTTTTGCTATTGGGATAAGCCTGGCACCTCCAGATATTGTTGAACTGTGGGTCCCCCCACCCAAATAACTTTTCTGAGTTGTGGTCCAAGCCAGCCCATCCGGTGTTGAGTGAGGGTGAGCCTTGCAGTCCCACGGTATCTGGAGGGCTACACTCCCCACCCCACCCCTGGTTTTTGGTGTGCTTAACCAACAGCTGCCCTGGTTAAGGAGCCCTGCCCTCTTTCGCATCTGGTCCCCTTGATCTGTCTTGCTTAGGAAGGGTCTCCTTTCCCCCATTTTCTTATGAGAGCTTTTCTCTCCTGGCCCTACCGGCCATCACATCTGGGCATCCCGTTTATTCCTAAACGGTTGTTAGGAGACAGGGTGTTCCCAGGACATCCTGGCACGGAGCGCTGTGCTGCATTCCGGCGAGCTGGGCTCACGTCCTCCCCCTTGGAAAGAAAGGCAACTTCCACCCCTCCCAGCTCCGAATGCTCCCCTTTCCCCACCCCAATAGGCCACGGGGGGAGAGTGCCCTTTCCATTCCATAGGGTGCCTTTCTCTCCTTGCAGATCTCTACCATGTCTGCTTCTGTGAGACAGCTGGACAACATCTGCACCAAGGCACAAAATGAGGGCAGGAAGACTTTGTAAATTCAGGGAGATCAAGAGAGTGGGGGCTAGTGGTTAGAGGAAGGTCTGGGAGGTTGTATGGGGGTATTCTTTGCAGTAAAGACCCGACCACGCGGTTATGCCTGAAGATGGATATCTAATTATGGTTTGATAAGTCTGATGTGAACGATTTTCAAGGACTTCTGTTCCTTGGCAGAAAAGGGGTGGGGTGGGGGGACTAAGGGTGATGGTTCTCTATGCTGAGGCAGTCCCACTTTGGGCACATGATGAGAAGGCAGGCTTTTCTGGAAAAGACAATCAGGCTGGGAAAGGTGGAAGGCAGCAGGAAAAGAGGAGGACTCAATACGAGATGGACTGACTCCCTAAGAGAATCCACAGAGCTGAGTTTGCAAGAACTGAGCAGGGGTGTTGAAAAGAGGACATTTCAGAGATTTATCGTTTATCGGATCACCATATATTGGAGGTGAAATAACAACAATAGCATAGTTTGCTAGTCAAGCACAGGATTTGCATGTAAAAGTTCCCAGGTTTTAATGTTTGGCGCTTCCAGAGAAGGCTCAGATCCATGCTCTGACAGCAACTGAGTTTGCAAGAACTGAGCAGGGGCGTTGAAAACAGGACATTTCAGAGATTTATCGTTTATCGGATCACCATATATTGGAGGTGAAATAACAACAATAGCATAGTTTGCTAGTCAAGCACAGGATTTGCATGTAAAAGTTCCCAGGTTTTAATGTTTGGCGCTTCCAGAGAAGGCTCAGATCCATGCTCTGACAGCAGCATCCCACGTTCCTCTGGCCTTAGGAGAAGGTATGGAATCCAGCCTTTAAAAACACCCAGGATGGTCACATCTCAATCCCTCCAGTGTGTCAACGCTCACACACCCCTCTGTTTTGTGCTCTTTCCAACAGCTTGGACCTCCCGTTTCAGCATCATCTGCCCAGGTTACATCATGACGATGATGGGGAAGGAGGGACCCGAGCATCGCCGGGCTTCTTCCATTCTAACGACCACAACTTGATACCCCAGAATCAGTAGCTGACCTTTTTCACGGCCAATGGCTGCTGCCTTGCAAAGCCGCTGTCGAAGGCATGAGGCCATAAAAAAAATGTTATCAGCTCTACTGAAACAAATCAGCCTCAGGGTGCTTGCTTTTCAGTTCCTGCAGCAGCTGCATCTTCCACCACAGCTTGATGTTCAGAAGTGTGAACGTTCCTCTCCTCCTCTCCGGGAGCAGCTTCCCTGAGTGTTTCTTGCACATCAAGCTGTTGGTCAAAGCGCAGAAGCTTTCCAGGACATTATTTGGGGGGGGGGGGGAGGGGAACGAGGGTGGCTCTCAGAAAAAGCGCTTCCAAAACTGGGTGGTGGCTCTTCCTTAGAAAGACAGCCCTCTACTCACGAACAGCATCATGGCACGCTGTGTTGGTGAGCAGCTTGAAAAAGCTGGGTGTGTATTGTAATTTGGTTTGGGGTTGCTTTTGGATTACAGATCTCAGAATCCCCCGCCAGCAGGACAATGCTGGCTGGAAGATTCTGGGACCTGTAGTCAAAAAGAAAAAAAGAAAAGGAGAATCCATCCAGGCTTTGTTTGAATCCCTGCTTGCGCTGAGCTCTGATTCATTCTCTTCTTTTCAGATCTTCACTTGCTGGATTGCCCCCATTCATGGGGGAAAAACCCTCCCGCTGCTTTCTGTTTTCTTGTTTGCTCGGCTTGTTTGTTTGCTAAGATAACAGGAACAGCAGATCTGGGAGGTGATGATAAGAAAGATGAGGTCCCCTTCCAGTGTAATGGTTACTGGGCAAAACACTGCCTTTCGTATGTTGCTTAACTGCAACACCCATCATCCCCAGCTTTGCAATTCACATCAACCGCAGCCATCATAAACAAGGGCCAGGGATAAGGGGAATTGAAGTGCAATAATTTCTGGAAGGCCACCCTTTGCTCATCCTTGGTTAGATTGTTGGAATCGGATTGGTTAGTTCAAACCTGTACAGGGGCAGAATGCTTTCTGGGTGATCTAGAATCAGTTATATCTTTCAGTCTGCTCAACATCACAGGGTTGTTGTGAGAATGGAAATATAGTAGGAGAAGGAGCCATGTATGCCATCCGGAGCTCCTTGGTGGAAAGACAGAATATTAATGTAAGAAATAGGGAAATCCTGATAAAAAAAACAGGAGCGAGGCGTATGCCGTTAAAAGTAGACATTGTTCTAGAGGGGCAGGGTAAAAATCTAATAAAGGGTTGTTGTGAGAATGGAAATATAGTAGGAGAAGGAGCCATGTATGCCATCCGGAGCTCCTTGGTGGAAAGACAGAATATTAATGTAAGAAATAGGGAAATCCTGATAAAAAAAACAGGAGCGAGGCGTATGCCGTTAAAAGTAGACATTGTTCTAGAGGGGCAGGGTAAAAATCTAATAAATAAATAAATAAATAAATAAATAAATAAATAAATAAATAAATAAATAAATAAATAAAAGGAAG